AATGATGCGCCAATCGTTGTCAGGTTATAAATATGCTCTTTCTAATTGCATAGTTACCATTTACGATGCCACATAGATCTAAGGAGTTACAATTGTTAGAGGACAGTTTTCACTCTTCTCTTAGCTGTCAAAATTGCTTCAGCCTGTGAGAGCAAGAAAAAGATGATGATGATGGTGATGATGATGATCATGATGATGATTCCCATTAATATGTTATCAGCACAAATGAAATGCAAGAAATTCCTTGAAATTCTTGTTGGAAATGCTTTTAAACTGTAAGCTGCTTTGAGTCCCAATTTTGGGGGGAAAGTGGGGGGGGGTGATAATGATCATGATGATGATGATGATGATTCTTAAATCACCAGCCTAGCTGTGTTTCTTGGGCCCTCAGGCTAGTTTACATATGGGAAGCTAAGTTTATAGTTTGACAATGTCTTTCTTAAATTTAATTTTGGGCAAATAAATCAATATTCACCTTCTTGCCTTCCCACTTGGTTCAAATTTTCAGATTGAAATAGCTCATAAACTTTTAACAACCTGTTGCAGCCTAGCAAGATTTCCTTGCTTCTTGCCATTTCTCATATACCATATGGCATGCCATTCATTGACTATGCCCTAATGAGAATTACGTTTGCGGGTAATTTTCTGTTGATTGTCTTGGGATAAACAAAATTTTCATATTTCTTTTGCTAATGTATTCAAGTAGGCTCATGGGGGAAAAAGATTAATCATCTAAAAGGCAAGCCAGGGTCTTTCATTATGCTAAAGGAGCCACATATGATCAGAGCAAAGCCACTTGTTGCTATGACAGCGGATACCTTTCTGTGAGGTAAATGGTGTCTTCTGAGCTGATTGGCTAAAATTAGATTATCACGATGACCAACCACAGGGAGTTAATTTCAGCAGAATGGAAAAATGATCGGAAATCCTGTTGTGATCCTACAAAGGAATTTTCATTAGAAGGCAATGGAGTCAGAGGTTTGCTTTCATTATAAGGAATATGTTGTGCCTAATAAAATAATATGGGAGAAGGAGACAATAGAATTAGCCAAGCTATTATTGTAGCTATCCACATAAGCTTTAATCTGTTTTTCACTAATACCACCATTCAAACTAAAGAACCCCTTATTTTCCTTATAATACATCTGCTACCAAACACTGTCATCATGTACCTGTTTATATAATTGGAGATAAGCTAATTGCAGTTGATTCAAAAGGGATCTGGCAGTATTACAAATATTTGCTAGAAACATTCTTGAGCAGAGGAATGGACACAATCCATCTTTATGCCTTCACAAGAAGCAGGGGGAACCAGACTAGTCTTGCTTATTGAATTCAGTAGGGTGCAAGTAATGACGAACCTACATCTCAATGTAGAGTTTTACCTACTCTAGGGTTCCAGTTGGCTGTGAGTTTATAATAGTTTATAATAGGTATGGATTTTATCCCATGGGAGGCAATCCCGTAATTTAATCCAGTCAATATTGCACAAAAGCAGGATGATTTTCAGATGACGTTCCCCATGTTGCCATTATCTCATAGTTAACACATGAATAAAACAGCAAAATTGTGCCACTTTTTATTTTTGGGATTCATCCCATTTTTTCTCTGCTAATTTTGAAATATCCCAGTTTCTTTTTCCTCCTCCCACTTTTCCCTTTGTCCTCAGTTTACATCATTTACTGTGAACTGAATTCAAACAACAAATGTAGTTTGCACTCAGTAAACTCAGCAAAGGGAGAAGAGAGGAAAGGACAGAATCTTGCTGTTCCTGGTAAGCTCAGGCAAAGGCAGACTGCTGCAGCCTTTCCTAGCTTCTTCTGCATTAATAACTGTTGACATCTTGGCTACACTGTAATGTTGCTTGGCTGCAAAGGTCCCAATTTTCATCTGTGAAATGTTGGCAGGAATGGGTCTAGTCAGTTCCTGGATAGGAGACAACCTGGTAATTCCATGTCTTCTGCTTTGGCTTTTAGGGTGGAAGATGGATGGAAGAAAGATGGGATGTACATCTGATCAGTAAATATGGCTGCCTTGGACAATATTTGTTTGCTTCACAAAACACTCCTGAATTCACCTTTATAGTATACTAGACTACAGATCAGTGGTCTTTTCTTGGGATTGGGGTTGAGGATCTTTGGCCTGCCAGATCTTTCAAACCACTCACCCTTAATACATGAGGCAGGGCTGATAGGAATTTTGCTCAAAACTTCTAGAAGTCCTTAAATGTTAGGGCTTGGTTGGAGGTTTTTGAGCCGCTGAATTTTCCTTTCAAATCTCAAATTTCCTCAATCCCACACTTTCTCTACCTAATTTTCACCTTCCTTATTCCTAGACCCATGTCTTTTTCATGGCCATAACCTGTGCTACAGATGTTGCTTGTAGCATGTTACTATCACACGTGGCCCAGAAA